GCGTAACAAACACGTGGTTTTTAATTTCCCGTAGGATAAGTTATAGTAATCGCAAAAAATCGAAAATGAGTATTTTTATATATCTTTATGTTTCAGAGGTTTCTGAACCTTTTGACATACTTTAGTGTGTAGGTGTGTGTAGAAACAAATTTTCGTTGCCGATTTCGGAGACACGGTTCAACAGATTTGAATGATTCATAAAAAATTCGATTTCTATTGATAAGGAGAAGTGGTAAAAAGTTTTTGGCAAAGGCAGGCCCAGCCGTTACGGAGATATGGAGCAAAGAGTGCAGAAAATAGAAATCGAGGATTTGGGAGAACGGATCATCCGATTTGTATGATCCAAAAAACATTTTGAAATTTTTGGAAACACAAAAGGCAAGCGTTTTCGGAAGAAAGCCATTTGGTGGACAAAAAATGATCATTATACATATGCACATCAAATAATCACATATTTTGAGGACATATTAATAATACAAACAAATTTTGCTGGGTTACGTAGCAATGTCATCGGTTACACTGCGACGCAGCGCCCACGCGCTTTGAAATTTCGTTTCTACGCAGCTGACAATTTCCAAAATATTACAAAGTATAAAACAATTCAAATTTTTTAAAAAATTTAAATAATGTCAATTATCAATTTTTTTAAAAATTCTAAAAACTTGTTATCTTTTTCACAAACTTTAATTTTTGGTACAGGAAGTTCCTGCAATTTGTTTTAAGGCACGATGCCATGCACCACTAATAAGATAGTGTTTTATATGAGTTTAATTTTGATGAAACATTTTGTTTTTCCCTTCTATTTTGAAATCCTAACCTTTAAAAGATAGATTTCGGAGTACAAAATGAATTGCTATGAATGTAACTGTTACTATATCGGTAAAAGTTTCCATTATATCTGTAAAATCATTAATTAACAAAATTTAAGTACTCTTAAAATCATTCTACTATTCTTCATAAAGCAAAAAATATATAAAGTAGTATTTCATCAGTTATTATATCAATGATGTTTTTGGAATTAAAAATAATGACTTTTTTATTTGACCACAGGCTCGACCTACATGATATGAATTTATGAATGTAATGTTGTACGTTATCTTTTTAGTAAAAAAAATGATTGTTTTGGAATTGTGTCACTCTACTATTGAAAATTGATAACAATACTTGTTTAAACAAATATATATATATATATATATATATATATATGTATATATAATAAAAAGTAATAAATGCGTTTGCGTGCGTCAATGACGCATTTGAAATTCCCGCGCTTTTGTCCCATGAGTAAGAAGTGTTATACATACATACATACATATATATATATATATATATATATATATATATATATTTGCATATATTTGTAACTAGGTGTAAGTGGCATTTGGCCTTAAGACCAGTTGCAAACATAGACAATGAACAGCTTTTGAAATTGTGGCAATAGAATTTTGAAATTTTGACTGGGCCACTACTCGAAATTCTGATCAATTTTTATAAATAAACCATTTTCGTAGGCCTATAATATTTAAAGATCTTCGTTCATCAGACAGCTAATTAATTAATTTTACAAAACATTTAATTAATACAATAGCAATAAAATTAATTAACTAAAATAAAATAATACGTATCGATCAGAAAAAAACTCAAATATTGCAAATGATAGAAAGACAAAATTTATGTCACTAATTTAAATGAAGAATATATTTAGTTTTTTAAATAGAATGGTATTAACTAAAATAATTTTTCATTTATTTTATATACTAGCTAATTTATATTATCATGCCAATATTAATATCGTGCAAAATAAATAATATTTGAACTACTTTATTTAATCTTATATATAAAAATGTAGCTCTCGATCAAATGATTCGGTAAAATTCGAAAACGGCTAAACCGATTTGGCCAGTCTTAGTCTTGAAAAATTCGTGCCAATCCAGAGATAGTCGGAAAGGTGAGATATTATTTCAAAATCGCGAAAAAACTTTATATTTTTAATTTGAAAATTTTTGTAAAAGCGTAATTTAAATAAAACAATGAACGGTGGCTAATACGTCAAATGTCAAACGTTATTGACAGATGATGTTCAATTACGTTTAATAGGATGTTTTACATGAATATTATTTAATTATGATTAAATTGTAGTAAGTAGTTTTGTTTGTAGTTTTATTTATATACAAAAACGTTAGTAAATGGGCCGCAAGTGTTGATAGAGACTCAAAATATCAACTTTTTTGAAATGTTAATATGAAAATGCACTTTTTGGCATATTTTTCTCAAACACGGTGCTCTGAAAGATCTCATTTGTATAATTATATACTCATTGGTATTTGTAAAACATTTTCTAGGTTATATTATTTTTTATTTATGTTATTTAAATTCAGAACCTAAATTTGGTATCGATCAAATGGATATTTTGTCGAATAACATTTTTTCAATTATAATTTCCCAGAATTTATCGAAGAATAGATAGTAATGTATGAAGGTCCGGGGTTAAAAAGCTCCACCTCCGATGTGTCAAAAAAACAGTAAAGTTTAGAGGCTGTTAATTTCGAAATTTAGTGAATTTTATTTAATTCATTATATATATATATATATATATATATATAATGAATAGATTTTTATATATCAAATTCAATGAATAGATTTCTTTTCTCTTGCGCAATATTGTGCCACATGCTCCAACAATTGTTTAATCGTTTGAATTAAAATTGGCATAAATAAATTTTATTGTTTTTCCATTGTCAATAATATTCACGAATATTTATATAATCTGCATTCAATTTTTCTCGTCGTCATTTTATTAAATTTAATAAGAATTGAATGAATAAGACGCCATGAAAGCGAATTGTTAGTTGAATGATGCAATAACGATACTGAGAATCGTCAGAAAAACGACAAGGAAATGACTTGAAAACGATGAAGATTTCTAGAAGTAATTCTTAAAAAAAAAAGAGAACTAATGTGTTTTTTTTGGTGGCAACCCAAATGGTTGTCCTACTTGTCTTGAATCAATTTTATTATCACAAATTCTGAAATACTGATGATTCCTTGCATTATTGTCAAGTTGTTTTTGGGATAAATTTAAAAAATATATTTATTCATTCTTATTTTTTTTAAAAAACTTTTTAGTGATTTAGTTTGAAATAGCAAAAATTTTGTTCTCATATCATTTATTCCAATTAATCATAACCTTTCTACATTATTCTTATATATAAAAATAGAGCACAACATAATGTTAGGTATGCTAAAATTCGAAAACGGCTAAACCGATTTGGCCACATTTAGTCTTGAAATATTCGTTCTAATCTTGTGGGAAATAGAAATAGTCCAATCACTATAGTAAGTCCACCTCGGAATTCGAGATACCCAATTGTAAGTCTATAAATACTAGTATTTTGCACCCTAAAAGTTGTCTCAAAACCTACATATGTTGCGTACACCCTACCATATGTAGGTTTTGAGACAACTTTTAGGGTGCAAAATACAAGTATTTACAGACTTACAGCTGGGTATCTCAAATTCCGAGATACTTATGTAATTCAAGCCAGTCATTTAAGACTGGACAAAAAGGTGAGAAATTATTTCAAAACAACTTGTAATATATAGGAACCTTGAATATCAAAATATGCCAATTCGATTTAAATGAAATTAGTTTCAGATTAGGCTGGCAATAATATGAAATTAGTTTCAGATTAATAGGCCCAATTTATTATACATTTATACATTTTTTTATAAAGATTTTCTAAAAATATTTTTATGGAAAAACAACGTTTGCCGGGCCAACTAGTATATTTATATAAATCTAATCTAGAATTGAACCCAAGGCTAGATTTACGTGCTACAGTTGGTGGCGCCTCTATGGAGTGCGGAAAGAATTAAAATTGAAGTATTTTTAACTTCCCGTAGGGTAAGTTATAGTAACCGCAAAAAAATCAAAAATGAAAATTTTTATAATTATACGTTTCAAAACCTTCTGAACATTTTGGCATAACTTAGCAAAAATGGATGTATGTGTGTGTGCGGGCGGATACAAATTTCGTCGACGATTTCGGAAACACGGTTCAACCGATTTGAATGATTCATATGAACATTCGATCCCTATGAATAGGGAGATGTGCTGATTAGTTTTTGGCAAAGGCAGGTCCAGCCTTTACGGAGATACAGAGCAAAAAGTGCAGAAAATACAAATTGAGTTTTTGAGAGAACGGAGCATCCGATTTGTATGATCCAAAAAACATTCAATTAGTAATGTTCGAGAGAAGTGTTTATTAGTTTTTGGCAAAGGCAGACCCAGCCATTTCAAAGATACGGAGCTAAATTTGCGAAAAATGGCAGTTTTTCAATGATTCAAACAACTTTCTGCTTGTATTGACAAAACAATTGGCTTTTGAGGATAAAAAATTATTTCATCTTTTTTTATTTTCCATAAAATAGTTTTGTAATTTTGGATTAAAAATTCAAAAAATTACCCAGGCTATGCACAGTCTAAGCGCCGCTCTGGTACAAATGTTTACCCAAGTGCGTTTAGACTGTTTATGAACTGGAGCACTTTTCCAATTCGAATTTTGTGAAAACTATTGAAAAATGTGAAAATGCCGCCAAGCTAAGCACAGTATAAGTGAAAATGTCGCACAGTATTATTTGCAAATGCAAATCTTATAAACATTAAACAATGTTACAGCATTTATAAAAATCTATATGAAAACATTTAATATTCCTCGATCATTTCGTTACGGTACGGGAAGTTCCAGCAATTTGTCTTAAGGCACGATGCCATACGCAACTAGTTTAATTTTTGTTCTTCAATCTTCAAATCCCGTGTTAATATCTTATTAAATCAGTTTTACTATGTATGTGTACTCGACCGGGATTCAATCTGAGTACCCCTATATTGGCCACACTCACCACTTTTTTTAATTTTTATAAACAATTATCCTTTTTAAATATAAACAATTATCCTTTTTAAATATAAACAATTATCCTTTCCTTAAAATTATTATTACCTGTCATTATCGTTTTATCCATTGACTTCAGAAAAGCAAGAACGTCGTCGACGTTCGTAACATTTTTGTCTCGAAACCTTTCCTTTGAAATGATCACTTTAAATAAACTACACTTTGCTTGGTTTGGTTTCGTTTTGGCACTTGACACACACTTTAGAGTTATTTTTATAACTTTTTCTTGGGTTTTGTATGTAACCCACAAATGTCACTAATAAATCTCTTTTACACACTAACCACAGGGGAATTCTTTAACGGTGATGTCGATTATTTTAAGAAAACGACACACGACACTCTATACAGAATAGATACAGAAAATTAATAAAGGATTGTAGATAATAATAATAAGTAGTAATTGTTATGATATTTAATGATTTTTTTTAAATTACAGAACACATATCTACGTATCCACCAATATTATTATTATTATAGATATATACGGAGAACATAGTTTTGTATTGATTATTCAGAAATTTATAAAGGATTGTGAATAATATTAATAAGTAGTAATTACTAGAATATTTTATGATTTTCATTAAACTACTTCTATTATATGCTAATAATTTAATTTAATAATAATTTGTAATGATCATTAAAAGTTTGTTCAAAATTAATGGCGTGTTCGGAGAGCATTGTTTTGAATTGTTTGTTCAGAAAATGTTGATTAATTTTAATATTTTAATTATGTTTGGAAAACTGCACGGAAATTATTTTAAATTCTGTTGAAAAGACAAGAAATATTATATTATTATAACACACAACACTATTCAAAATACCTACAGAAAATTTATAAAGGATTGTAGATAATAATAATAAGTAGTAATTATTATGATATTTAATGATTTTTATTAAATTACAAAACACAAATCTACGTGTCTACCAATATTATTATTATTATTGATATATTCGGAGAACATTGTTTTGTATTGATTATTCAGAAATTTATAAGGGATTGTGGATAATAATAATAAGTAGTCATTATTATAATATTTAATTATTTTTATTAAATTACATCTATTATATAAATCATCAATAATAATTTGTAATGATCATTAAAAGTTTGTTCAAAATTAATGATGTGTTCGGAGAGCATTGTTTTGAATTGTTTATTCAGAAAATGTTGATTGATTTTAATATTTTAAATATGTTAGGAAAACTGCACGAAAATTATTTTAAATTCTGTTAAAAAGACAAGAAATATTATATTATTATAACACACGACACTATTCAGAATAACTACAGAAAATTAATAAAGGATTGTAGATAATAATAAGTAGTAATAATAGTAAGTAGTTATTATAATATTTAATAATTTTGATTAAATTACAGATCACAAATCTACGTATCTACCAATATTATTATTATTAATAATATATTCTGAGAACATTGTTTTGTATTGATTATTCAGAAATTTATAAAGAATTGTAGATAATAATAATAAGTAGTAATTATTATAATATTCAATGATTTTCATTATATTACTTCTATTATATGATAATAATTTAATTTAATAATAATTTGAAATGATCATTAAAAGTTTGTTCAAAATTAATGGCGTGTTCGGAGAACATTGTTTTGAATTGTTTGTTCAGAATATGTTAATTAATTTTGATATTTTAAACATATTTGGGAAACTTTCTCGATTATAACATCAATCTACTTTTGATTGAAAAACGGATAAAAGGAAACTTTAATCTAATTTATTTATTAAAATTAAACATTAAAAGAAAAATAGTTTACTCTCTAAAATATTTTTTTTTAAACTTTAATTTCTAACGAATTAAAACTGATCATCAAGTACTTGGTAGCCTTAAGTACTTTAATCTCTTATTATGTAATTGTTACAATATTGATGACTTTCTAAAAAAAACAAATCTCAAGAATCTTTAAGGACCACTCAAACGAAATTTTAAGTCCTTTCAAGCATCTTTAAGGCCTATTGTATTAAATAATTTTGATAAGAATTTCAATTGGTATTTTATCTGATATTATATCGTACTTTTATAAGAAAGTTTTATATTTCATATTGGAAATTATTTATAAAATAATTAGTTTTTTAATATGAACTGTTATTAGAATATTCTAACAAATACATAACAAAACATGATATCTCTTGATTTATATTAATTATTTATTAAATTAAATTCTATTTGGTATGTATACTAATAGTACATTTTATTTTATATAAATAGATTTTTAAAATTATATTTAAAGGTTTAATAAATTCATAAAATTAACGTCGACTAAATTAATTTTAGTAAAGAAAAAACAGAATTATTAGTTTTGGTAAATACAATTAGTGTTCATACGTAAAATTATGCAAAAAAAATAATTTTTTAACTTCCCGTAGGGCAAGTTATAGTAATCGCAAAAAAATCGAAAATGAAAATGTTTATATATCTTTACGTTTCAGAGGTTTCTGAACATTTTGGCATACCTTAGAAAAAATGGATGTATGTGTGTGTGTGTGTGTGTGTGTGTGTGTATGTATGTATGTATGTATGTATGTATGTATGTATGTATGTATGTATGTGCGTGTGTGTATGTATGTGCGGATACAAATTTTCGTCGACGATTTCGGGAACACGGATCAACCGATTTGAATAATTCAAAAAACATTCGATTCGTATTAATAAGGAGACGTGCTGATTAGTTTTTGGCGAAAGCAGGTCTAGCCGTTCCAAAGATACGGGGCAAAAAGTGCCGAAAACGGTAACTCAGTTTTTAAGAGAACGGAGCGTCCGATTTGAATAATTCAAAAAACATTTTACTTGTATTGACAAGATAAAGAATTGATCAAATTTTCATGAAGGCAGGTCTAACGGTTTCGGAGATCTGATGAAAAAAGTAAAAAAAAAAGCCATTTGGCGGTCAAAAATGATCATTAGACATATGCACATCAAATTATCAAATATTTTATAGAGATTTTAACAATAAGTATAAATTTTTTTTACATTCCTATGGGTTCCGTACCAATGTTTACGCGTTAGACGGCGACGCGGCGCTTACGGGCTTTGATATTTCGTCTTTATGCAGTTAAAGCAGTACGATTGCTCTGAAAAAAAGTTTAGATCTTCCAAAATATGTCAAAATAAAATAAAACATTTTTTTTTAAAAAAAAAAAAATAAAAAAATTTTTTTTTTTTTCAAAAAAAAGTAATTTTTTGTCCAATATATAGTTTCTCAAAAATCTTATTTTTTCAAAGTAAATTTTTTTCAAAAATCTTAATCGTTTTTAAAAAAAAAATTTTGGTACGGGAAGTTCCAGCAATTTGCCTTAAGGCACGATGCCTTAATTGCCTTAAGACAGAATTCCACTTACAGCTAGTTATATTTTGGATTAAAGAAATTTAATAAATTTAACGATTTACCATATAAATAATAAAAAAAATGCGTTTGATAAATATTTCTAAATTAAATTAATTTTAATGTATAAATATAATCTTGTTAAACTATTAAATTAAAATAGTGTTGTATAATATTTATATTTAAAAAATGTTTACTTATATATTATGTAAGTAGAATATTTTATTTCTATATATATTTTAATTATTTATCTTATTTGTTATATATTTATATTATTTGTTTGACAAAACAGAAAAAAATAAAATAGTTTAGTTTAAGAATATTAAAATTTATTATTAAATTTAACAACAATATTTTTTAAAAAATGTTATTATAAACAATAACTAGCTGTAAGTGGAATTCTGTCTTAAGGCAATTAAGGCATCGTGCCTTAAGGCAAATTGCTGGAACTTCCCGTACCAAAAATTATTATTTTTTTAAAAACGATTAACATTTTTGAAAAAAATTTACTTCGAAAAAATAAGATTTTTGACAAACAATTAGACAAAAAATTACTTTTTTTTGAAAAAAAATTTTTTTTTTAATTTTTTTTTTTTTTGAAAAAAAAAAATGTTTTCTTTATTTTGACATATTTTGAAAGATCTAAACTTTTTTTCAAAGCAATCGTAATGCTTTAACTGCATAAAGACGAAATATCAAACCGCGTAAGCGCCGCGTCGCTGTCTAATGGGTAAACATTGGTACGGAACCCATAGGAATGTAAACAAAATTTATACTTATTGTTAAAATCTCTATAAAATATCTGATAATTTGATGTGCATATGTCCAATGATCATTTTCGACCGCCGGTTTTTTTACTTTTTTCATTAGATCTCCGAAACCGCTAGACCTGCCTTTATGAAAATTTGATCGGTTCTTTACCTTGTCAATACAAGTAAAATGTTTTTTGAAATATTAAAATCGGACGCTCCGTTCTCTTAAAAACTGAGTTACCGTTTTTGGCGCTTTTTGCCCCGTATCTTCGGAACGGCTAGACCTGCCTTCACGAAAAACTAATCAGCACGTCTCCTTATCAATAAGAATCGAATGTATTTTGAATTATTCAAATCGGTTGATCGGTGTTCCCGAAATCGTCGACGAAAATTTGTATCCGCACATACATACATGCACACACACACACACACATACATCCATTTTTTCTAAGGTATGCCAAAATATTCAGAAACCTTTGAAACGTCGAGAAATGCAAAAATTTTCAATTTCGATTTTTTTGCGATTACTATAACTTGCCCTACGGGAAGTTAAAAAAACAAACAAATGAACATAAACTTGTTTTCAGTTAAAAATTTTGAGAATAAATAAATGTGTTAATAATAACCAAAAATCTTATTTATTTAATTTAAATATTTTAAATTATATCTTTAGGATTTTATCAAATCTTGTTTAATTAAAATAATTAATCAAAATAATGCTAAATTTTTTTTTTCTATAATTTATTTTTGTTATTTAAGACATTATATTTGAATAGAGTTTTCAAACATTGAAACAAAATGCTAAAAAAATTGATTAAATTATTTTAAATGATGTCTAACTTTAAATAACATTAAATTTTGTTTAACAAATTTTTAACATTTTCTAGAAAATATTTTAAATAAATTAGTTTAAAAAAATCCTGCACGTGTATATGAAAAAACACTGAAATTTAATTATATTCTTTAAAATATTAACAAAACTATATTATATTATTCAATTACAATTTTTATAATAATTAAGACAAATTTCAAACACATATTCATGTTATTGTTTTTTTAAATAATTAAAAAAATAAAATTAAAAAAATTGCACATTTTAAGAATTCAATTTAAAAAAAAAATGTAATATGATTTAAATTAATCAAAAACCTGCACGAATATTATATTAAATTTAAAAAAATGAGAATATTGAATTTGACAGTTGTAAATATATTGTTGAATAAAAAAAATAATAATAATAATTATATAAATAATTATATGAATAATAATGAAAAAGATCAGAGTAATAATAATAAGATTAATAATGAGAAGGAAAATAATTGTATCAGGATCACAACATTTCACAACGCATTTTAAATCAATTCTATATTAAATTATATTAAAGAAAAACTTATTATTATTATTATTCATTTTATTATATAAATTTTTTTGTTACCAAATCTACAAATAAATGTGCACGATATTATTTTTAATTTAAAACAGTTTAAGTAATTAATTCTTAACTGTACATATTATTATTAAATTCTTTCAAAGATATCAAAGCTAACTTTTAAAATATGCAATCGTTCAATAATAAATTTAATATAAATTAATTAATTTGTTTTGATTCTTTATTAAGGAATCTGCACGAGTATTATTTTGAATTTTGTTATAAAAACAAGAAATAATGTGCGCGCTATTGAATTATTATATAAAATAATAAACCGCATTTTTCTTTATTACTGAAGAATTTTCAAGTTACCTAATGTCACTTTTGGAAACTACATATGTTTAATTTAATTTCCACACACAAATTTAATCCAAATAAATTTATAGTTTCTCAAAAATTTAATTTTTTCAGAGAATTTTTTTAAAAAAAAAAAACATCTTTTAAAAAAAAAATTTGGTATGGGATGTACCAGCAATTTGCCTTAAGGCACGATGCCATGCCGCCCCACTAGTTAATTATCTAATTTCATGAGATTTAATCAAATTATTTAACTTGGAAGTAATAATTTAAATATAAGGTTGTCAAATATCTCCCTTCCGCCTTTTTGTATTATAAACCAAGAGCAAAAAAGCGGAAGGGAGATATTTGACAACCTAATATTTAAATTCGGAGGTAATCGTATTGCTATATAAAATGCATTTTTTGTACTAATGAAAAAAATTTAAAGTTACCTAACGTCACTTTTAAAAACTGCACGTGTTAAACAATAAATAAAACTTAATTCAATTTCCACACACCAAACTTTAATCCAAAACAAAAGTCACCACCACTTGCACAAATCACATTCCCACAAAAAAAAACAAATCACTTGTAATAAAATTCAATGCAATTCACTCGCACTAATAAAAAAATCTCTCCTCCGCCTTGGAGGTGCGTGCGTGCGTACGTGCACGCGCAACCGAAACGAGGTCCCGGATTCGAGCCACTGTAAATTTCCTACTACCGAAACACTCGTGTTAATAATTGTCTAGTATTTGCCTATTATATTATATTTGTCTATTATATTTGGGCGGAATGAAACAATAAACAAACGATCGTCGATCGTCTATCGTCCGTCCGTCGTGGTGCTCCCGTAACGGTGTCTTTTAGATCAATGACTTGAATGCCCCGTCGCGTACGCGTTTGTTGTGAACTGGCTGTGGGCTCTGGCGGAGTTACATGAGGCAAAGGCGCCCCCCGCCAGGGCTCCGCTCGGCAGACGACGTCACACGTCAAATGTATAATATAACCGACGAACGCAGCGTAGTATAGTGGGGACGATGAGATGTTGGTAGAAAGTGGAAGCGACGTGTTGTTATACCATCTGGCAACTTTATGCATAAAAGGATCATAATCCTCTTCGAGCACTGGAACTCGGCTAGGATCTAATTCCACTTCCACCACTAAGACAGCTAAGAGATTTGAAACAGAGATAAGGTCTCTTTGCTTGCTGACCACTGCTGAAGAAACATTAAAATTTACTATTCTTCGTTTTAATTTTATAATAAACTCTATATATCACATAAAACAAGTTGTATAGAAGTATCGTCGTTTTGATTTACTATTGTAATAAACCATATATTGAAACTGTATGAGTTCTCATTTGCTGAAGTTTATTTTCTCAATTACAACAGTGTAATAGACTAGTAGAAAAATATTGAAATAAAACTTCTTTAGACGCGATTATGGGACGGAATTTGGTTACGCCTCAATCTAATTCGTTATTGGCGGGCATCTATTAATCACGTAAGCGAGTTTTTAAGGATATTTAGACTCTCCCTCCCCCTTGGTGATTCATGGTGATACATGGTGATAATCAAAATTACCCCCCCTCCCCCACCAAACATCACGTGTATTTTAAGCTACGTGATAAAACTTGGATGAGGTTGATGTAATTAGCCGTCACAAAAATTGATATTTTTGCTTCAATTAATAACTAGTGGTGTATGGCATCGTGCCTTAAGGCAAATTGCTGAAACTTCCCCTACTGTAACAAAATGTTCGAGGAATACTAAATGTTTTTAAATGGATCATCATAAATACTGCAATTTTCATTATTTTTGTTATCTTTTTATATCTGAATTAACACTGTGAGCAAAAAAATGTGTATCATAAATCAATTTATTAATCAACATTTTATTTCTAACTCAATTTCAAACTAGTGGTGTATGGCATCGTGCCTTAAGGCAAATTGCTAGAACTTCCCGTACTGTAATGAAGTATTCGAGAAATTTTAAACGTTTTCAAATATATTATTACAAATACTGTAACTTACATTATTTTTGCTATCTTGTTTGTTATATCTGAGCAAATCAATTGTAAATAAAAAATCAATTTATCTCCAGAACATTAACAATCGTCATTCATTTTAATTTCAAAAAAATAGTTGCCTAATTTACACAAAATTGAAAAAGTGCTCCCGTATAGTCACAGTCTAAACGCATTTGCAAATAATTCCGTGCGACATTTTCACTTATACTGAGCTTTGCTGGGCGGCATTTTAACATATTTCAATAGTTTTCTCACAAAATTGGAATAGTACTCTGCATGAACAGTCTAAACGCACTTAGGTAAACATTTGTACCAGAGTGGCGCTTAGACTGTGCTTAGCCTGGGTAATTTTTTGAATTTTTAATCCCAAATTACAAAAACATTCTATGGAAAATAAAAAAGATCTCAAGAGCAATTGTTTTGTCAATACAAGCAGAAAGTTTTTTAGATCATCAAAACGGACGCTTAGTTCACTCAAAAACTGTTATTTTTTGCAAATTTAGTTCTGTATCTTCGAAATGGCGGAACCTGTCTTTGCCAAAAACTAATTAACTTCTCCCAATCATTACAAATTGAATGTTTTTTAGATCATTCAAATCCGATACTCCGTTCTCTCAAAAACTCGATTACTAATTTCTGCACTCTTTGCTCCGTATCTCCGTAACAACTGGGCCTGCATTTGCCAAAAACTAATCAGTACATCTCCCTATTAATAAGTATCGAATGTTTTTTAAACCATTCAAATCGGTTGATCCGTGCGCCGAAACGTGGACAAAGAAATGCGGACATACAAAACACACACACGCATACACACGCACACATTATTTTTTACTGAGATATGCCAAAATGTTCAGAAACCTTCAAAACGTCGAGAAATGCAAAAATTTTCATTTTCGATTTTGGGCCCTTTTTCACTTTTTCAATTTTGAGTAAATTAATTAGGCAACTATTTTTTTGAAGTTGAATTCGAAATAAAATGACAATTGTTAATGTTCTGGAGATAAATTGATTTATGATTTACATTTGATTTGCTCAGATATAATAACAAGATACCGTAAATAATGAAAGTTACAGTATTTGTAATAATATATTTGAAAACGTTTAAAATTTCTCGAATATTTCATTACGGTACGGGAAGTTCCAGTAATTTGTCTTAGGTCACGATGCCATACACCACTAGTTATTGAATTAAGTCGATTATTTACACATGTCGAGAATTTCATACAATTTGTCTTAAGGTAATAAATATCACTCGAACAACCTATATAAGGTTTTTCATAGCCTAATTCTGAATCTAATATATATATATATATATATATATATATATATATATATATATATATATATATGGCGCTAGTTGGCCATTTATTATTTATTAATTAATTATTGAATGAAATCGCAATAATAAAAAAAAAAAAAAAAAAAAAAAAAAAAAAAAAAACAATCTGTTTCATTAGGGCGGAGTGATCTGTAGCGACCTAATATTTTATGGAATTTATTATTACTACAATTTGGATAATAATGGTATTAATTACGGAGCACCAGACTACGTCCATATTTTGGTGACTCCGAACGTGAGTGAAATCGGTAAATAACAGACATTCTCAACGTCTTAGTTCCCATAATTGGTGACGTCGGACGGAGAAAGGAAAACACTTGTCAAATACAAGTAAATTAACGAAGGTAAATTATACCAATTTTTATCAACAGGTCGCTACATATATATATATATATATATATATATATATACACTGGGGCCTTGCTTTACGGCCTGGATACGTTCCGCAAAACTTGGCTGTAAAGCGAAAAGCCGTATAACGAATCAATTATTCTAATACGTATATTCATACAAATTCAATGGGATCGGTTCCAAATTTAATAAATATATAATATGGTTTATCATTCAAAATGCATTTTATTTTTTTATTTTGTTTAAATTATAAACATATTTAACAAGAACATAAATTTTACATAAAATAAAAAACTTCAAAAACATTCCATAATTTTTAAATAAAAATGAAACAACTAAAACCTACAGATCACTACTAATGGCTGAGTTAATTCCTCGAGAGACATTAGCGCTACGTTCGACGTCAGGATCGTTTTCAAGGAGGATGTTTATTCCTTGTTTAAAATATGAAAAAGCGCTCGACATGATTTTTGATGTTAGCTGTTTGGATACAACAGGTTCTGCATCTTCATCAATTGCCGGCTCTGCTTGCAACTGAATGAGTTCCTCATATGAAAGGGGTTCCCTATAAGCTGCAAGTAGATCCAGATTCGTTTAAATCTTCAAAACCGAGATAATGTGCTAAATCCAAAATGTTTTGCCTAACTTCAGGAAGGAAATTAACTTCTGCATCGGTAGTGTTTATACATTCTGGCCATATTTTTTTTTCCAAACATGGTTCATTGTTGTCGATTTCAATTTCTTCCAGGATTCACTAATGTTCTCAACAGCATTCTTGATATTATAGTTTTTCCAAAACGTTTGAAACTTGGAAACGTAAAGATATATAAAAATTTTCATTTTCGATTTTTTTGCGATTACTGTAACTTGCCCTACGCGAAGTTAAAAAAGCCGTTATAGCAAAACATTTTAGGCCGTATATCGAAAACGTTCCTTAATTAAAGAGGGCCGTTATAGCGAAAGGCCGTATAAAGAGCGGCCGTATAGCGAGGCCTGGGTGTATATATATATATATATATATATATATATATATATATATATATATATATAACAAATGTATTCTGAGTGGATAATAGATATTGAATTGGAAATATGAACAAACGACACTCTTTTTTGCACTAATTTATTAAATAATAATTTTCACAAACGTTTCGAGACTAGGTTTGTATCATCATCAGTGTATTATAATTTAAAATTTAAAATATGGAAACCTAAATTAGCATTATGTGTACTGATTAGCATTATATATACTGAGTATATTGAACGACTTGTAACGGATAACACATAATGCTAATTCAGGTTTCTATATTTTAAATTTTAAATTTATAACACACTGATGATGAGACAAACCTAGTCTCAAAACGTTTGTGAAAATTATTATTTAATGTTCACATTTCCAAATTAATATCTGTTATCCACTCAGAATACATTTGTTATATATATATATATATATATATATATATATATATATATTCTAAAATCATTCAAATTCCCCAAATCTCCTTTCCACTGTATCCTCTCATCTCGCCGGTCCTCCAACGTACTACACGAATGGTCGATTAAATCTACTACGCCATTCTACGGCACCAATCGCGTCACAGAGAACACGACCACGTGTCCAAGAGACAACCAATCATTTCTCTCGGATCCCGATCACAACAAATGCGTCTGACTTGCGCATTTTGCGGCGCGCGAAGGAATTGTGTTCGGTTTCACTTGGGATTTTTTGTGTTTGTGAGCAATTTAATTTGTTTTTGTTCGCAGACAAAGAGGAATAATGGATATAGGGATAGACAGACAGACAGACAGACGAAACAGACAGACAAGACAGGACAGACAGTGTATTTAAA